GAACTGGTGGATGAAGCTAGTGTGGAACCAGTGATTAGAGAAGAGTCAGTTTCTTTGCAGGGAAAAGAGGGGGAGCGTAGGGAGGAGAAGTTTAATGCAGGTAGTACAATGGTGAGTTTGCTGGTTCAGGAAGATGATCCGAACCAAGGTTCGTATGAGGGGGGCAACACTGATCTGATTTTCGAAGTTCGAGAAGTAGAATGTAGGACGAGGAGCGAAAGTAGAAAGGAGGTTGTCGGAAGGAAGGATAATCATGGGACACTTTCAGATCCGAAGGGTGAAGATGAACCAAGCGCACTGGCTAGACAAAAACAGTATAATTCGGAGTCGGAGAGTAAGCAAACGAGTCGTAAGATGGAATCAAAAAAAAAAAACATACAGTGAGACATTCCTAACGGGTTTTATCCCGCCCTTCTAAACTCAATTTATGATTAATAAAATTTTGGTTTGGAATCTGCGAGGGCTAGGTAGTTCTCATAATCAGTTAAAAAGTTTAGTTAAGAAGTTTGGTGTGTCTATTGTGGGAATTCTGGAACCTTTTGCTGCAGATGATAAGATGAGTCGTCTAGCCTATTTGTTGGGGTTACCGAACCATTGTAGTAATGCGGTTGTTGACGGTAAGATTTGGATTTTCTAGAGTGATGATTGTGATTGGGAGGTGTTATCTATGACTAACCAATCAATTTCAGGGATTTTTCGGTTTGGGGAAGAGAACCTTTTCATTTCTTTTATCTATGCTAAGTGCAGTAGTATTGAACGTAGAGATTTATGGCAAAGCTTGGAGTTGGTTGATTCTAAGGAAGATCCATGGCTGGTGGTTGGGGATTTCAATGTTATTCGGGAAGATAGTGAAAGAGTTGGGGGTCATCCAAGGCCTATTATGTCAATGGACGAATTTAATAATTGTATTGATCACTGTGGGTTATTGGATATGCAGGTTATGGGAAGACGCCTCTTGTGGTGTAATGGCCATGAGGGGCATACTCGTAGTTGGGCGCGTCTTGATAGAGCTCTGATTAATATACATTATGCCAACAGATTTCCTTCAGCTTGCTTCGAGTACCTTAATCGGAAGACTTCGGATCATGTCCTATGCTCATCGTCCCAAAGCAAAAGGTAGGCTACGGTCCCATCGTTTCGTTTCAAAATATGTGGGTTACCCATACAGAATCAGGAGATGTGTTGAAGAAGTTTGGAGGAACCTACTATTTTGTGGGTTTACATCGGTTGGCGGAGAAATTAAAGAAAACGAAAATTGCTTACGGGCGTGGAACAAGAAGTGTTGTTTGGCTTTGGGAGAATATTAAAGAATTGGAGGGAGTTGGAGGTTTTAGACGCATTTACAAGGGGGATATGATAAAGAAGTAGAATGTGATTACTTGGTTACAAAACTTGAATTGGATATTTGGGAAAAACGTGAAGAACTTCGGCTTTCTCAATTGGCAAAACAGAAATGGCTTTCAGAAGGTGACCAAAACTCTAAATTTTTTCATGCAGTTGTTAATCAACAGAGGAAAAGCAATGTCATTTCTCACATGCGGCTAGCGAATGGTACGAGTCTGAACTCTACGGAGCAGGTGCATCAAGGAGCTTTAAAATATTTCCAAGATTTTCTCTCAAATCCTTCTTTGGCGGAATAGGTGGATCTGACTCCCCTTATCCAGAAGTCTGTATCTGAGGAAAATAATTTGGCTCTTGCTTTAGCCCCGACAGAGACAGAGGTTTTGGCTGCGCTGAAATCTATACGAAAGAGAGCTCACCTGGACCGGACGGTTTTGGTTCGGGTTTCTATCTAAGCTGTTGGGATCTGATCAAGGAGGATGTACTCGATGCTGCAAAGGATTTCTTTTCGGGTACTACGTTACCTAGATTTTATAAGGCATCTTACTTGGTGTTGATTCCGAAGGTAGAGGAGCCTAAGAGTTTTGACAAGTTTCGCCCGATTAGCCTTTGTTCTGTCGCGTACAAGATTTTCTCAAAAGTGATAGTTCATAGGATGACTCTTTTTTTATCACAGTTGATTTCTCATGAACAAGGCGCTTTTATTCCCGGTCGCAGCATTTTTGAGAATATTACACTAGCACAAGAATTGGTTCATTCTCTGAATAAGAAAACAAAGGGTGGTAACATTATGGTGAAGATTGATATGGCTAAAGCCTATGATCGTGTGGACTGGAAATTCCTGTTAAATGTGCTAACATCCTTTGGGTTTTCCTCTCAGGTTTGTAATCTTGTCAGGGAATGTGTTACATCCCCCTGGTTCTCTATTATGATGAACGGGACGTCCAAAGGTTTCTTTTAGCCAGCTCGGGGTCTAAGACAAGGTGACCCACTTTCTCCATATTTATTTATTATTATGGAAGAGGTTCTGTCTAGATTACTTTGTAAGAATTTTGAAGTTGGTCGTATTAGATGTTACTCACATCCAGTGGGTGCGCCTTTGGTATCTCACCTTCTCTATGCTGATGATCTCTTAGTGTTTGTGAATGGGGGTAAACGATCTGTTCAACGACTTTTAAATATTTTGGAAGTTTATGAAAAGTGGTCAGGGCAGCTTATCAATAAGGAAAAATCGGCTGTCTTTTTCTCAAAGTCCATAACGATTGCCCGGAGACGTATTCTTATGCGAACGACAGGTTTTGTGGAAGGAAAGTTTCCGTTCACTTATTTGGGTGTCCCCATGGTTTCTGGTCGACTCACATCTAGGCATTTGGAACCTCTCGTGGAGAAAGTCAGGAGGAGAATTGCTGGTTGGAAATCAAAACTTCTTTCTGAAGGTGGTAGGCTTACACTCATGAAACATGTGTTAGCATGTATGTCAACACATCTCTTGGCAGTTTTAAATGTGCCGATGAAGGTTTTTAGTAGACTTAACTCTTTGATGGCGACATTTTTCTGGGGTGATGTGAATGGGAAACAAAAAATGAAGTGGTGTGCTTGGGATAGGATATGCAAACCATACAAGGAAGGGGGTCTTGGCATCAGAAATTTCCATGAGGTACAGCGGGCACTACACATGAAATTCGCTTGGAGATTGGTTACTGTTGATAACCTTTAGACCAAGTTCTTCCGGGCGAAATATGTTAAACACGGCCACATTTTTTTAGCTGAGACCAGAAGAAATGCTTCCTGTTTCTGGAAGTCTATTATGAAGGTGTTTCCTGATGTGGCCGAAAATGTGCTTGTTAAGGTTAGAGAGGGCAGTTCTTCATTTTGGTTTGATAGGTGGCTGGCAAGTGGGCCTTTAGGTGCTAGTCGTGATTCAGGGCACTCTCAGCTCAAGATCAAAGATGTTTGGATTGATGGCTCATGGGATGAGAATGTTCTGGTGGATCTTGTCGGTATTGACAAAACAGAGGAAATAATGAATGGAGTGGTGGCTGTAAGGTGGGAACGGATATTACCATTTGGAAACCAGAGGTTAAGGGAGTTTTCACGTTGGCTTCTGCGTGGGACCTTATATGTGTGAAAGGAACTGAACATCTAGGCATGGGCTGGATCTGGCATCACTCTCTTCCGCGGAAAATCTCTGTGTGCATGTGGAAAGCTCGGTTTAATGGGTTAGCGCTGGACGCTCGGGTGCAAATGCTTGGAATCCCGTTGGCATCTCGGTGTAATTGCTGTGCTTAGGGGCACATTGAAACATTAAATCATGTACTTTGTAATGGGAGTATTGCTGCGGAGGTATGGAAAAAGGCAGCCACATGTTGGGTATTAAATATGTTCAAGGTCTTCCTTGGTGGTTGACGGTAATGCAGTGGTTTAATTCGGCCACGAAGTCGAGTCACAATGGGGTCCTTCTCGGTCTCATTCCATCTATCATTTCCTGGCGCCTCTAGAGACGTCGTTGCAAAGCTCGCATGGAAAATTCAACTGAATCAGCGGAAAGTGTCTAGTTGGCAGTGAGAGTTTGGATACGTAAAATCTCCTCTCTGATGGTGAAACAGTGGCCGATATCTGCGAGGGATGAGGTTATTCTACGGGATCTTGAAGTGCCTTATGTGGGGAGGTCACGGAATATTCCGAAGCTGGTATATTGGAGGAAACCGACTGAAGGGTGGATTAAACTGAATGTTGATGGCAGTTGCCGGGGTAATCCGGGCAGCTGTGGGGGAGGAGGTGTCATTCGAGATGTGCTAGGAAATTTTAAAGGGGCTTTCTCTTCTTTCTTCGGGCAGGGAACTAATAATGAAGCTGAATTGAAAGCGTTAATTGCGGGTGTGTCACTGTGTAAAGAGCTGGGTTTTAATCAGTTGAATATCGAGAGTGATTCCACTTTGGTTGTTTCTTGGTTGAGTAGTCGCAAGTGCACGGCTTGGTATTTATGGGACTACTGGAATGAGCTTTTGATCCTGTTAAGAGATGTTCATTTCACCATCACTCATCAATTCCGCGAAGGGAATAGTGCAGCTGACTTCCTCGCTCGACGGGGAGAGGAGGGTAATTCTAACACATTTCTGGAGTTTATGTCGTTACCTAGGGAGTTGAAAGGCATGCTTCTGTTGGACAAGGCGGGTTTGCCTCAGCTCAGGCGGTTAACTTGATTTTGGGAGTCTGGTTCCAGATGGTTTTTTCCTTATGTTGGTTGTTAGGTTTCGTTTTGATGTTTATGTTTACCTGTTTGTTTTCCAGTTTGTTCCACGGCTTTCCTCAGCCAAAAGTGAGGCCTGGTAATAAAATTGGGAGGAAGGCACACTAAGATGACTTCGTCTTTTTCTTAAAAAAAAAAAAAAAAAAAAAAAAATTCTCATATTCTTGTTTTAGGAAACTAAAGGCCAAATACAGAGAGGAATGATTTTGACAATTAGTTAATAGATGGGGAAAGCTATATACCTAAACCACCAAGCAAGGCTTCACTTTGCCCATTTGGTGAAATATTCACTTTCCTTGTCACGCAGTATAAAAAGAGAGAAGATGGAGGGGTGGTATTTTCACAGCATAAACACGATCCATCTGATAACTATTTCTTCCTTTTCTTCATTCAATTATCAACTTTTATTATGGCTCCTGAAATCGTTCCCTATGTGTGGAAGCGATTTTCTTCATTAATCTTTGTTCAAGACACACACAGAAAGGTGTTGCGTGCATCGGGTGTCAGCAGAGAAGTAGAAAAGATTGCCAAAAACTTTAAAGAAATTCTAGCTGTTCTGCCGGATGCTCAGGCAAAAGAAATGGAGAAACCGAATGTGAGGGATTGGTTAAATAAGCTCAAAGACATATGCTATGATATAAATGACGACTTTGATGAGTACAGCACTTCATTTCTGAAACTGCAAATTGTGGGGGCTGAAAATCCTCTGTTTAAAAAGAAGGTATGTTTCTTCTTTCTTGCTCCTCATGTTTTCTTTACAGCAGTTGCTTTATGCCGTCAAAGTGCTGTCATGATAAAAAAAAATAAATAAAAATCTAGATGATATTGTCCAAGAGAAGGATAACCTTCATCTTTAGGCGAGTGAGAGTACTGAAAAACAAATACAGATTACCTCATCTGATCTGAGTAAGATACATGATCGAGATGAGGAAAAAAATATTTTAGTAAGCGAGTTATTGGGTGAGGGTGAGGGTGCTAGTGTGATCTTAATTGTGGGTATGGAAGAGAAAGGAAAAACACTTGTTCAATTTGCTTACAATAATAATGAGGTGATTAACAATTTCAGTAAAAGAATATGGGTAGACATATTGGGCTCTGAAGACAAGTGTAGCGTTAAGAATGAAGTTTCAGAAGGCAAGCCTATTTCAGTAGGATATGATGTTTTTAATGAAACAATTAAAGACCATATAAAAAATGAGAAATGTCTTCTTGTCTTAAATGATATGAGGATAGAAGATTACAATAAATTGGGATCATTGGGTACTCTAAAATATGGTGCTCCTGATGGAAGTAAAATTTTAATTACCACAAGTCATGAGAAGTTAGTTGCTTGGAGGATGATAGAGCATATTATAAGGAGTAATGAATTATCTGAGAAGGAAAATTGGTCATTGTTTGAAAAACTAGCCTTATCTGAAAGATCAACTGAGGAGCGTGGACGCTTGGAAAACATTGGTAAACAAATTGTAGGGAAGTGCCAAGGCTCGCCTTTGGCCATACAGGTCATGGGCAGTCTATTACGCTTTAAAACTAGTCAGGAGTGGGACTTTATGTTAGATAAAGAAGTTTGGAAACGAGAAGAATCAAAGGTAGGTTTTCCACCAGCTTTTTTTTTGAGTTATTATGATTTGCCCTCTATGATAAGATTGTGTTTCATATACCTTGCTATCTTTCCTAAGGGTTATAGGATGAATAAAGATGAATTGATTAAATTATGGATGGCTCAAGGTTATCTTGGGTTAGAACCAAATATAGAGATGGAAATACTAGGTCAAAGGTATTTTAACTACTTAGTAAGTCGATCCTTCTTAGATATTGAAAAAGATGATAATGATAATATTATAAGTTGTAAGATTCATGGTTTAATGCATGACTTTGCCAAATTTCTGAAACGGAAAGAGTGTATAACTATAGAAATTAATGATAGTGTCGAAGAGCCATTCAAAAACTCTTCCCATGACAAAGTTTATCATTCAATGTTAATGCTTAAGAAAAGAAGTTCATTTTCGGTCTCTATTTTGGATGTCGAAAGGTTGCGCAGTCTCTTCATTAGTTGTGAAGATAATGACTACCCTTTAGAGAATGATATTCTACCACAGTTGTTTGGTAAATTGGATCGTATAAGGGCATTGAAGTTTGATGCATTTGGTGATTTTATTAAAGAGATTCCAACAGAAATAGGAAAACTCATACAATTAAGATATCTTGATTTATCTGGGCAAAATATAAAAAAACTACCGGAAACTTTGTGTGAGTTATATAACCTACAAAGTTTAGACATTTCTTGGTGTGAAGAACTTAAAGAATTACCTCAAGCAATGGAAAGGTTAATAAACTTGAGGCATTTAACAAATGATAATACTGATTCATTAAGTTACATGCCAATAGGGATTGGGAGATTAACACATCTCCGAACATTAAGTGAATTCATTGTAAGTGGTGCCGGTAACGGTACTCATGGTAACAAAGCATGTAATCTTGAAAGTTTAAAAGATTTGAACCGTCTTCGAGGGAAACTTGTCTTAAGAGTGTTAGGAAATGTGAAAAATGTGAGTGAGGCTGAGAAAATGGAACTTAAAAATAAGAAAATCCTCTCTGGTTTGGGGATAATCTTCGATGAGGATGAAGAAGAGCAGAGGATAAATCATGATGAATCACTTCTCAAGGCCTTACAACCACCTCCAAATTTGGAAAAACTTGATATACAATCATATAGAGGCAGCACTTTTCACTCCGATTGGGTGATGTCATTAACCAGGTTGAGACATTTAAGACTCAAATTTTGCATAAATTGTAAGCATTTGTCTCCTTTTGGAGAATTACACTCTCTTGAATCACTAAGGATAAGTAAAATTTCTAGTGTGAAAAGAGTGGACAATAAATTTTGGAGAACAGAAAGTGATGACAGATCTTCATCATCATTATCAGCTATTCTCTTCCCCAAATTGAAATATCTCCAGTTTTCGGATATGAAAGAATGGGAAGAGTGGGATTATAAGATTATAAGGGAGGGAGAAGAAAAAGAATATACTACAATCATGCCATGTCTTGCTTCATTGGAAATCAATTTCTGTCGCAAATTAGAAGCACTGCCAGACGGCCTTCTCCAGAGGACAACATTGAAGAAATTGCAGTTTTATGAATGTCCTGTTTTAAGACAATATTTCAAAAAAAGAATGGAAGAGCATTGGCCCCAGATCACTCAAATTTCTACCATCAAAATTGACGGTCAATATGTGCAAGGAGGCCCTGGTCATTGAATTCTCAAACAGCTGCAATTACGTTCAACCCAAAGGCCACAGGTTATTGCTTCCTCTTTTATTAGTTGTTCTTTGTAATAGCAGAACTAGATACATTTGTTAATCAGATCATATGTTATATTATTGTCTCTAAGCCACCCTAGAACTATCAGTCTTTTAAATTTTTGGTCTTATTGTTATTATATTCTTAACATATTACTTGTTAAGTATATTAAGTTGTTGTTCCGCAGCTAAATTTTTAGCAAAAAGTCACATCTGTCTAATTTTTGGTTTGTGGCTTGCAGCAGAGGAAGAGAAGAGCAGAATATGGCCAGCTAGAGAAGAGGAGGATTTTCAATAATATTTTTCATTTCTGTTACCTGTCTGAGTTCTGGTTTGTTTTCTTCGTAACCTCTGTTCTATTTTTATTTGTTTGGAAATTCGGTCTTTGGGAAGCAGTCATAACAAAACAACATCCTTGTTTTTCTATCAGGTTGAACAATTGAAGTTGGCAAAGATTTTCAGACCAGTCAAAAGCAGTTACCTTTATTGAAAGTTAGCTATAATAAGATATTTGGTCTCTTAGCCTTTTTGAACTAAACATCGAACCCCGAAAGAATGGTGCAAGGAAGTTCCTGGAAAGGATTCCAGTGGGGTATTTACTCTGAAGATCAAATTGGTTAGCTATACTTGATCACTGCTCTTTATTATTTCTTCATTAGTACTTTATGTTCAATTGAAAAAGGTTATCAACGTTGGCAGTAACTCTAGCTGTCCTAAGTTAGCGAAATTCCATTTTGCATAAGTAGTGAACATAACAGTTTGACTGATTATGTTGTGTTTCTGAATTTCCAGAATTGATTCGCTAGTCATGCTGGGCTTGCTATGGTGAGAAGTTAAATTTTGTTATCAGTCACACAGAAAATTCTTGAAGCCAAAGCTATGAAGGATTAATTTATCTGTCAAAGGGGGAAACCTCAATCAGACTCGTGTAAATAGTAGAAAATGTGCCTGATAATAAGTGCTCAATGTATTGTCCATCTCAGAGGTACATAAATTTAGTAGTCAAAGTACTGGTTTTAATGCTTTGTGTCTTGCAAGAGAGAATAGCTAGATGTAACGGGCTGGAAAAGAGAAGAGGATTTACTATACAATTTGGTTTGTTCTCTTCTTGAGCACTCCGTTTTGAGATAGCAACTGTTCTATAGGTATAATATTGAATTTATGTTTCCCTTTGTATAGGCATAAAACAATTATCTTCAGAAATCTTCTCTGCTTTTGATATATAAAAAGAAAAAAAGAATCCCAGGTAGTATATTGGTCAACAGAGTTTTATATAGTCTATGATTTATCCCTATTTTGCATCACTCTAGAATCCAAATGTCAATGCTAATAATCATGAATCAATGTTACAGGTTAGCATTTTCCAATGGGCAAAGGAATTTAATTTTCGAAGTGGCTATAATGCTATTTGATGTACAAGACAGAGAATAGCAGAATGTGACCAACGGGAGAAGAGAGGAATTACAATAACATCTTTCATTTCTGTTACCTTTGTGAGCTCTGTTTTGCTTTTCCGCATAAGGTCACCATTTTATCTTGATTATGTCCTTTAGAAGTTTGGCAATCATCACAAAATAACAACCTTAGTTTTCTATCAGGTTGAACAATTAAGGTTGGAAAAGATTTTCGGCCTATTCAAAAGCAGTTACATCTGAGAAGTTTTCCCTTAATGAACTTGATGCTTTGAAATGTTGAATCGATTATGCAGCATGTTAGGAGCTTCTTCATTTGCTTAAATTGGCTCTTTCAGATCCTTTTATGACTCATTGAGGTTTTCTTATGCTTATATGGATATTGGAAAGGGCTTTTATTTCTTATTAAGAAAACTTAATATCCTTGCTTTAGTTTTGATGCAGTGACCAAAGTATCATAAAGTTTATCTGTCTCCCAGTCTAAAGAAATTTAAGGTCAGAAGATGATGTGTAACAGGAACATGGCAAAATGAGGTTCTTTTTGCATAAACTTTCTCCATCAAATGTCACCATATACTAAAATATTACATTCTCTTTTAGTTTATTAAAATAATCATTAATCTCCATTCACATAACTTTGTATCACAGGGGACAAAATTGACTGGGAGCAATCAATCTCAAATTATCCTACGTAACCTTTGTCAGTACTTCTCAATGTTCATAGCTCCAATTTCACAATGCTTTCTATTTATTGATTTTAATTTGAAAGCAAATCATTCAATTGTGTGACTGGTTGTGTTTTCTCTTTAAAATCCAGAATTAATTTACTAGTCATGCTGGCAAGGCTAGTATTTCAAAATTCTGTCAATGATTAGCAGAGGATAGCTTAAGGTCAAAGCAGTTGTCAAGCACCAACTTATCAATGGTAGAACTTCATTTAGGACCTTGTACTAAAGAGAAAATGTGGCTGATGAAACAAGTTCTCTATGTCAGGTTTTCACATTTGCTTGGTGAGTTTTCCATCAGGTCTAGATTTCTACATCCTTTTACACACACACACACACACACACACACACACACACACACATATATATATATTCTTTTTTAAGAAACAGAGTTCTAATTCCTAATAGGTGATTGATGTCCTAAGCAACTACAATCTTTTCGTAGACAAGGTTGCTTAAAGAACTTTTGACAAGTGAAAGGTTCCTCATGATCAGTTAAATCATTAATTCCATTTGTAATCTCGTAAATAATATATTTTCATGTCAGGGTGTTCTAGCATTCGGTGGTCAATAAAGGATGCATTGGTCGAGAATAGGAAATAACAGCCTTAGTTTCTACCAGGTTGAACAATTTAGGAGGGAAGATTTTCAGACTACTCAGAAGCAGTTACACCAGAACATTTTTCTAACTTCTGTATCGTGGAGAACGGTTTCAGGAAGCTAATACAAAGGAATCAAATTTTTTATCTATCCCAAAAACCAAATTAATTAGTTATGCGTGGTAATTCTCCCTCAATTCTTTCATTTATATATGTTCAATAAAAAAGTATATTGCAGATATTTGACTGGTGATGGTCTGTTTCCTCATATGCAGAATTGATTTGCTACTACTGCTAAATATGCTGAGAATTTTCTGTAAAGGACTCTAATGGTGTGCCTACTGTACATATCAAATTGGTTAGTCTTGCTTGTCACTGATCTGTTTTTTGTTTCTTCATTTGTTTAAGTTCTAATCAGAGAGTGTGTAAATCATAGAACTGTTTGACTGTCATGCTTCTTTTAATATCCAGAATTCCTTTACTACTCATTCTAGCTATTTCAAGAACTTAAAGCTCCTTTACCAATCAGCAAAGAAAGTACTGAAGGACCAAATTCTATTGGTCAATATCTCCTGGAACTTCATTGAGGCTCAAGTGCTTCATGTCTAGTTTCCACATTTGCTTGGTGAGCTTCCAAAATAAATTGCTATTGATAACCTTGAAATATGCTATATAATCTCTGTCAATGTATCTTAGAGGTCACAGCCCCATTTTTGAAAAAATAATTATCTGATTTTAGTGTTTAGGTGCTATTTTTTTAATTAAGGTATGATACTTTCTATTCGCAGAGGAGAGAAAAAAAGAAGCTATTTTAATGACAAGTCATTGTTACATTGATTTTAGACAACACCACCACAAAAATTGGTCTTTGGACTCAAAAGGTTAGTTATATAATACTTTCTCTCAGTGCTCTGTGTTTTTCGTCATTTATTGGTGGTTATTTGAAACCAAATCATTCCATTGTGTGACAAGTTCTGTTTTTTAATTAAAAATGCAGAATCAATTTGCTAGTCATGCTAACAAGGCTAGTATGAAGAAATTATGTGGAAAAGTTACCTGAAAGTTTGTGTGTTGTGTTGGATATGGTTCATACTTTGCATAGACTTGGCGGATTATCGGCTTACGTTGACGCATTCGGGGGGTCTCACTTGCTACTAAGTGAGTGGGGTTGAGGGGGCAGCACCCCCTTGACAATAAGCCCAATTAGTAATTGGGTTTAGAATTGATTTGTAAATATTTGGGCCTGGGTCGAGTTAGATTAGGTTAGCCCCAATGAGATTAGGGTTACTATTATATGTATATTGTAATAGTGGAAAAACCCTAGTGTGAGAAAAATAGAGAGAAAAAGTAAGTTGCCAATACTTTTTCATCATTGTATTCTACAGATTTTGAAACTCAATGAAACTGCTCTATTTGAACGCTGGACGTAGTTCTCAGTAATTGAGAACGAACCAGGGTAAATTGATTGTGTCCTCTTTACTTTTCTACTTTATTTGTTGTGTGTTTTGATTGTGGTTTCAACATGTTACACACTTTAGATATTAGTGCTTGTATGCTACGGGAATTGCCTCATGGAATTGAAAAATTAGTTAATTTGAGACATTTAATAAATACCTCTGTAACACTAAGTTATATTCCAAAAGAGATTCAGAAATTAAGTGGTCTTCAAACATTGTTGGAATTCGTTATAAGTGGTAATGATGATCATGATAATAAAGCATGTACTCTTGAAGGATTGAAAATTTTGAATAATTAGCACCAAAACAAATATTTTCTTTCTTGTCTCACTGCAGTTTCTTGCCCTACAATAGAGGAGAGAAGAAGAAGTCAACCTAAATGATTAGGAAAAGAAATCAAATTGTATGTTCCCAAAAGATCAAATTGGTTACTTATGTTCATTAAAAAACATATATTTCACAGAAAATTTTGACTGGCTATGTTGGTTATCTTGATATGCAGAATTGATGTGCTGCAGAAGCTGATTATGTGTATAATCTAAGTATATGTTACTGATCAACAGAGGAAATACACATAAGGTCAAAGCTATGAAGAACCAATTTGTACTGTTGGCCAATGGCGGATCGTCACTAGTTTTCACATTTGCTTGGTGAGCTTCCATCAGATCTATATATCTATATCCTTTTTGTTTTCTGTTTTTCTTGAAAAATTAGACAACAAGCATTGTTCAACGCATGTATTACTGTTTCTTTTTAGTCAGGGTT